GGCGCTGTTTATCTCCTAAATACGTTTGCAAACGTGTTAGCTCCGCTGTCTTAGATTCTTTTGCAGCGTTAACCCTCATAAAAATTAAGCATTCGATAGGCTTACAAGTGTTAAATCGTATCCTCACTCTCCTGTCATAGATTTTTATCCTCTGGACTTGGGCTCAGTGCTGACGGTTTTGATGCTGGACCTGCACCCGGGGACTCGAATGTTGGACCTCTGCTCCGCACCGGGCGGCAAGGCTGTGACCGCATTACAAACGCTTAATTTGGGTAGGTTCGTTGTGCTTGTCAATAGCTGATGGAGTCTGTATTGCTAAGCTCCTTTTGAAGTTTTCAAGCTTTGCCAACCTGAATTTGGGTATAAATGGCCCAATTTTAGACGTAAAGTTCCTTCCTTCTCTTTTATCGGCCTCTCAGTATTAAGTCAGTGATGCCTTTGATAAAAATAGTCTCATATTCCGAATTCAATGTTGTGGAGAGCACAATCGCTCCCTCTTCTACGGTTCCCTTTGTCCCTAGGAAGACTTGGGATTCTGACAAAAAACACTTAGAATGCATACAGGCAGATAATAAATCTTGTGATTATTCTCTTATCCTCCACACGCCGACTCGATTCTTTTGCGCCTCATAGTATCTGCTCTGTAATTCCCAAGTCTTATCTAAAGGCGAGGGAGGACGGGGCACCGAGGGCGCACCGTAGAGTTTAGGAGCTATTGAGACACTCCGAAGGCCGAAGCACATTGGCACCCAAACCGATATTTGAGTCAACAAGTAACGCACTACAGTTTGGACACATTTACAGTATTTAGCAGATTAGTCTGCCGTCAGTTTCTTTTGCGAATTTTCATTCGCCTTGATGCGGCCTCTTTATGATTTGTTTCATCGATATTTTTTTAATCCTTGATTTGTCTCTCAAGCAGCTGCACTTTGTGTGCTTGCTGCTCTTGGAGTTGGAATATGTGTTCATCGCGTGCCTATAAATCATCCAAGATTCCTTTTATGTGTACTTTAACCATGTTTAAAGCATTGTTCTTGTCTAGATGTTTGAGCAAATAGTCCTAAACCGAAACCTGTGTCGGAACTGACGGCGATGTAGCAAAGGTCACCTGTGAGCATTATCTTAGGCTGTTTGGACTCGCATACTTTGTCCTTTTGAAAATCGGCCAACTTGATTACGTCTTCAAGAGCTATTGCCTCGCTTCTTACTCCTTCAGGGCTTCAGCACTTCTAGACCCCTTGCAAAGTGATGCGACTGCAATACTTCAAATTTGTTGCTTTTAAAAATCAACCAGTTCGGGTCCTGCTTCATATTTTCTCATCCTCACAAGATGTGTTCTGTACTCACGGACGTTTTAGCTTACTATTTATGAACGCTGGATATATCAATCTAAACGATGCAATGTTTTAAACCATTTTTCATTCAGTTAGCCACGTAGTGCGTAAACTCACCATAGTCATGGCATTTTGTTGGATGAATAGGGATTTAAAATGCCATGAGAATTGGTAAAAATAGAATAAAGTGGAAAACATAACCAATGTGGTAAATATGGGGCATGAAACTTTGAGGTCCAAATTTGGGGAGTCAGATATTTCAAAGCTGCTTGCTATCACAGTACCAGAAACCAGGAAACTCCAAAGTTCTTGAGCAGGGTATGAGCATATAAATATCATGAAGGAAGCGTTCTTCTCGAGCTTTCCAATCGTTCATGATTGCTACTTCTTCAGTCTTCCCTTTAGAAATATGCTTATATGCCGCATTTACTACTTGCCAGAATCACCCACTCCCTGTTCAAGTAGTATTACAACCTTACATCGTTTTACCTTGCGGCAGAACGATTGGTTTGCACTGACGTCTCGGAGTCTCGCCTGGAACGCTTGCGTAGGGTTTTGATGGGCTTCGCCTGGGGTGTGGGCAGCGGTCGCGATGGGCTCCCCGATGTGGAGGTAACTACGGTGTCAGCATTGCACCGTTTGAAGTATCGGTCGGGCGAACACTTTTCTCGTGTCCTCGTCGACGTGCCATGCTCTACCGACCGTGATGCTCTCACTTCTCCAACCGGAGGTTACTTTGCCCGAGGCAAAGCCTCTGCACGCGTCGGACTGGTGGAGAAACAGAGGGCACTTCTTCGGTAGGTCACCTTTAACCGCATTCACATGTCAAGTTCGTAATGCAGCCAAAAGGTACCAGAAACTCCTACATTTCTCCTCAAAATGAAGGAGAAGATGGTACATATGCCACCAGTTAAATTTGAAACCATTAATTCATCATTATTTTACCTTTTCAAAAACAATTAAAGTTAACA